GTCTGATGGGTACGTGGCACAAATCAATCCTACGCATTGTGGATGAGTAAGAGCAATGGCTCAAGAAGTGGCCTTGAACCTGCTACTCCGTGGCGATTGGTATTATTCTAGACAGGATATGGACGGCTCAAGTCGAATAGTTCAGGGCATCACACGTGTTTTGTAAACACAAAATTATCTAAGAGATTTCAATTTTACTACCCTCTTATGGGAGTGGAATGAAAGGGAACTTGGTGCTGGGAACCACATGTGCGTGACAGAGTCCAAGTTGTCAGCCCGGTCATCGTTCTCGTCGAACTCGTCGCTTACGAAGCGGCGACGCAAGGTTCGGCGAGTAAATTAACCCACACAGACACATCCTACTGAGTTTCTCGCCGTATCTTCTCAGTGGGTCGCGTTTGCGATCCGTTGGTAGATTCTGCGAAACACTGCTCTTGCTAGGGTTAGTGTTAGCAACGTCGTCAAGTTTGAGCCCCGTGCGCTCACCTACTTAGATTAGATCAGATTAGGTGGGAAAAAAAAGTTGTCAGATTTGATTTTGACCGTGTCTCAGTTTAGCAGCTCGCTTCGAATACGGGACAGCAGGTTTTTATTCATCTTTAGTACAAGTACGTAAACAATGGGGAAGGCAATAAATTCTCTAATCGATCGTGAGGACCGTTTTAAAATCGGTTCGTTGTTCAAAAGTTATAAACGTAGACAAACATTGAAAGTTGATTTCGAACAATGTAGAGAAGGCTTTTTTAATTTTTTTTATGTTTTTTTTCCTCATAAATAACAATGTTTACATAACAAGCAACTAGAAACAAGTATTGAAGTATCGTTAGCTCTATAGAGAAACCGGTTTAATTTAATTAGTTTGCGTACCAACGATTCAACTATTATTTCTCAGATTTGGGGTACGCTTGCTTTAGTTAGGTAATAATTAAGCCGGTAAATTTTGTTCCGTAAATCTTAATAAATTATCTCGGATTATTAGTAATGGTGATAGATTATTTTTTTCTTGCTTTCGGTTTCAGAACGTTTTTGTGTTTAATTAATCATTTTTTTGTATATATGGGCGAAAGAACCCACGTCTCGTATGTGTTAAGTGGTTACTGTAGTCCATGGACATCATACCGTGAATGCCGCACTCATTTTGAATCTTGAGCTCGAAGTTTAATTATACTGCATAGCAGTTTTTCCAATTACTGCTTCGCAGCTGAAATAGGCAAGATTGTGGTACCAACTTGTGCGGGTTTACAATATGCTCTAACTTTGGTAATAAGGTTTTAGGTTAAATATACATAATATTTGAATTAAAAGGGCCAAATATTCATAAAATTAAATAACGTAAATTGTAACACAGTACTTCAAAGGAACGAGATTGATTTGACGTTAAAAAAAATACGAAGTCCACTAAAATTAACTCAAACGGCTTAAAAGACTAAAATAAATATAGTGAATTGCTTATGTTTTTCGAATTGCAATAAATTCCATTTCGTCTCGGTGGCTCATTGAACTCTTAATAGTGCTGCAGTAGTCGCGAGATAGCGATTATTCGTCTTAATGGGCACTACGTAGATTCGAAACTAGGATATGAGACTCCAGACAGTACAATTACTTGTGGTTCGTTATTCTCGGACCGGTTTTGACTCCCGAAAAAAAAAAAACGTGCACCAAGATTATTTCTTATCTTTATTCGAATGCATGCGTCGTCGCTCTATTTCGTCCTACTCTGTGACACGGTCGTGCATAACTGATAACACCGTTCACCTTGTTATTGTGATGTTTATTAAACATATCAGGTCATTGCAAAGACAACAATCGGCTAAAACTAGATCGGGTCTAGGTCCCTGTAGATTTATGTTGAATGTTCCGTTTCACGTGTGGTTCGTTAATTTGTAGGTCATTGTAAAATGTACCTTATGACGTTGAGTTTAAACCGTTGATTAATGTTGAGTGCAGAGTGTCATCGGCAACAGGTAGCTCACTTACCTTGACCGCGCACGTTGTCCTCTCACTTATAGAACTATTATGGACGTCTTCGATGTGCCAGTGTCGCGGCAATGCTCACGAGCCCTTCGATCTTCGACTGTTTGTAATGGACTGTAATCACGAAACGCTTTTTGTTCGTAAGTAATAAATTTTCACAGGTTTTCGATTATTTGTTAGGTACATCAGCTTATTAATACGCTTTTATTAGCTTCAGACGTGTGTATGTTAGTATGTAACGGAATCTTTGAATATGATTTTGATCCCCTTCAAAACGTCGGATTAACTCGAAATTTGGTATAGGTATACTTATTAAGGACCGATGACAATACAATATTTAAAAAAAAATGAAAAATAAATAATAGTGAAAAAAAACTCACAAAATATGCTTTTATAGAAAATCCAACTAAAAGATAGAAAATAAAATTGAATTAAAACTAGTGTAAAAAAAAAGATTTTATTATAAAAAAGCGTTATTGTAAAAAAAAACTATTATTATACGATAAGAACGCTTGTTACACTGACGTTGACTAGATTTGGTTAATACTGTTTATTTCAAACGATTTCAATAATTCATAGTTCCCCCATACGAACACATCAATGTCACATCCGTGTGAATGAGATTGAAAAATTCATGGTGACCGTTTTTTATATCAAGTTTTTGTAAGGGACGTGCGTGTGTGTCTATATGAATTACAAAACTTATGCATGAGGCCGTGACTTTTTTCCCCCTTAAAAACATGGAACCGAATTCGTTTTGTGCTTAGTTTTGACGGGACGATGAATTGACATGGGTCGACTTGATAAATATGCTGTTCCGATGTTGTTTTTTTATATTGTTTAACTAAGCTACGACGGGTCAGTAATACGCGATGTATTTCGCGAAAAACGTTTTTCCACCATTATCATGTTTTAACTGCATTTTTTTTATTGCTTAGATGTGTGGACGAGCTCACAGCCCACCTGGTGTTAAGTGGTAACTGGGACCCATAGACATCCACAACGTAAATGCGCCACCCACCTTGAGATATATAAGTTCTAAGGTCTCAGTATAGTTACAACGGCTGCCCCACCCTTTAAACCGAAACGCATTGCTGCTTCACGGCAGAAATAGGCGGGGCGGTGGTACCTACCCGCGCGGACTCACAAGAAGTCCTATCGCCAGTAGAATTGCGTGCACGAATTTCAAATATGTGGATATTTTGTTCTTTGAATGGCTCGTGGAAGTCGAAGCTCTTTCAATCTATATACCAATAAACGTTCAGTCAGTCGTCTCGCTCGTGATTCATTGCCACTCACTCGCGACTCCAGATTAAATAAATCATCAGTTATTGTCCCCTAAGAATGGTTGCCATCGCGTGTGCCTTTCGATGCTTATCACAAATTGAAGCCAATTACGGCCCTAAGCTATTTTTAAGGGATTAAAACGCTCATTATTATTTTTTGTGTGAAAATAAAAATTGATTATAACAACACAATAACCTAAGAAGTCTCTTATATCTCAAGGTGGGTGGCGCATTTACATTGTAGATGTCTATGGGCTCCAGTAACCACTTAAAACCAGGTGGGCTGTGAGCTCGTCCACCCATCTAAGCAATAAAAATAATAATAATAATAATAACCTCCTTTGTAACCTTGTTACGGGGTAATGTAAAATTTGTTTGTCGAGAAATGTAGTCCCTAATATGTTTCGGCTTACAAGAAGTCTGTTAACTGCGTTACGTTTTTGTCCCCTAAGAATGGTTGCCATCGCGTGTGTCTTTCGATGTTTATCACAAATTGAAGCCAATTACGGCCCTAAGCTATTTTTGAGGGAATAAAACGCTCTTTATTTTTATTATTTGTGAAAATAAAAATTCGGTCACACGTTTTACAAGAAGTCTGTTAACTGCGCTACGTTATCAGAGACGAGATAGTGCACCGCTTGATAGCTCGGCCATTGCACAAGTTGGCAGGCTTATCTCGGAATGCAGTTTACAATGCACTTCGTTTATCGTCGGTCGTGAAAAAAGTTATTAGAACTCACCCCTCAAACGAACACATAATTATTTCAGTTTAAAATATATATATATAAAAAATAAAAATTCGTATTTATCGTCCGTAATATTAACTTCCTGTGTGCGAAACTGTTTGTTGTACCGTACCTACGAGTTCCTAGACGAACGCCGTCGATACTGGTCATCGGCCTCCGTAGGTGAGTTTTGCAAGTTCAGTTAGCCATATGAATCGATCGCATTAATATTCTACGGTTGACGTTCTTGCGAACCTAACGTTTTTGACCTCACTGGAGTACTGTATCAGTCCGCAATTTCGTATCCAGGACGCTTATTATTTCCGGCTTTTTTTTATATATATCTTTTTATAGTAGCCGCCTTCCTTAATGCCAAGGATCGTACGTGAGTTTATATAAAAGCGTCGAAATTTAAATAAAGTACCTACCCAAAGACAAAAGCATTCCAAAGTGCCGAGACGACAGGGAATTTCGGGTGGGTGAAGGGAGACGCGCAGACGCTTTTCATCGTGGGTAACTGCGTGTCGTACAAAAAAAAATGGATAGACGGCCAATAAAAACCCCGTGTGGAGAGAAGTCGAGGGGCGGGCGAAGCGGGTGCACTGCTCTGCCGCAGCCCGCAGTGAGCAATTGCAAGTTGCAGTCGGTCTCGGACGCGTCGGGTGCGCGCACGCAGCCTCCTCATCCCTTAGCCTATCCCGGTTCCGATAATTCACTTACCACAATTAATCGTCACGATCCTAACGTTAGTTCGATTAGTACGTTGATGTATTCGATTGTAGAGTTCAGTTCTTGTTTTCGTGTTTGACGATCACCTATAGCGCGTCTGGTCCGTTACCTATAAACACAAGCTTGGACGGAGCTTTCGTATAAAATTTACTAGTGTGGCGCTGAACTATAAATTTTGTAGTCGAATTTAAACAGTTTCTTACTATGACGTAAGTTCTCGTATAGTTGGTAAAAGTAGCTTTTTGATGCTATCTCTATTAATTTTAATGTTTTTTTTTGTACACAGGGCGAGTTTCGTCGCGTCAGCATCAGCAGCAAGCGGGGAGGCGGTATCCCCGGGCCCGGCGGCCGAGGACGCCGCCATGAAAGGCGTCGAAGCTACACCCGAAGAACAGGAGAGATTAGCGACCGGAAATAACAATGGCTCTCTCGTCGCGAAGCTGCCGCCGAGGTCACAGCAGGCGCATCCGCGCTCTGCTTTTTACTCGACTCGAGTTTTCATGCTGGTCTTCCTGTCGGGCTGGGTGCTCCAGGGAATGTTCCTCACGTATTTCGTGAGCGTGACGACTACCCTAGAGAAGCTATATAAAGTTGAATCGAAGACGACAGGAACTTTACTGGCCGCTACGGAGATCGGACAAATATGTACGGCGTTATTCTTGACGTACTTAGCGGGGCGCGGACACAGACCGCGCTGGATCGCCTGCATGATGATGGTGCTGGCCGTGGGTGTGATAGGGTGTGTCATGCCGCACTTATTATACGGCACCGAGCTGCTGAATGTCCACATAGACGGTCAGATAGCCGGCGCGGCACCCCTATGCAACGTCTACAACAACTTCACGTTGTGCAACTCCGATCAAATTAAAGTGACGGAAACGCGCTCGTCTATAACCGCCGTCGTGATACCGTGGCTCTTCATCTGTCTCTTGGTAGTTGGCGTGGGACAAACCGGCATCGCAACGCTCGGAATACCTTACGTCGATGACAACGTAGGCAGCAGACAGTCCCCTCTTTACATGGGTGAGTAATTACATTTACGAGTGCGATTACGATTATTGATGATTATTTGAAAGCGAACCTTGTTCAATTGCGGGCTCAAAGCAAACAGAGCTATATATCGATTTGTATTTAACAATTAATTGTTTTGTTCCTGATGCACAGTTTTCAGTTTTATGTATGTATGTAGGTACTTTATGAGTAATAAAATCGACACATAAAAGTTTGCAAATCATAAATACCGCCCACTGGGCCGCCTACGTCTCATTGCCCGCCGGCTGTCTTCTGCCTTTTGTGTAATTAGCAATGAAATAATCTCAGAACTTTTAAAATTTTATTTGAAAAACTTCACTAAATGAAAGCTAATGTTATCTTGTGCATATTTGCGTATCTACGCATTTGTCATTTAAAATGATGGTAAACAGTTTGTTTGGGTGACGCTGCGCTGATATTAGCCGCCATTACCGATACCCGACGAAGTAATCTTTGGGTGTTTTTTTCATCCTTCGTCGCATATGTTTGTTTCTGAGGGCTACATTATTTAAAGCCTTTTGAGTGTGTTTACGCGCCCCTGTGACGAGTGCTAACGATGTTAAAATCATTTTCTGAAATGCCAGTATTAGTACCCTTACTTTAATAGTACCATCGCAAAGTTTCATAATAATAAGATGAATGCACCAGGAAAGGTGAGTAAAGATAAACTCATCACTCGTCCGTGGTAACAGTGTCCTCACTAAAATGCTGTTGGGCAGGGCGTCTTGAAAGCCCGCACGGGTCGGTATCAATACCCTGCCTATTTCTGCCGCGAAGCAGTAATGCGTTCTGGTTAGACGGGCGGGGCAGCCGTTGTGCTATAAAACTGAGAATTCATGTCTCAAATTGGGTACTTTAACGGTGTTGGTGTCTATTTCCTCTGGTTTCTTTTTTTTTTGCCCTTGTAGACGAGCACACGGCCCACCTGATGGTGAGTGATTACCGTCGCCCATGGACTTCAGCAATGTCCCTGGGGGCAGAGCAAAACTGTTGCCTACTGTTAGGTACTCTCCACAAGCCTGGTGACCACTTAACACTAGGTGGGCGGTGAGCTTTTCGTCCATCTACACAACAACAAAAAAAAAACAAGATTCTCGTTCGAGACGCGGGTAGAAAATCGAAAAACAAACCCAGTTGTTTGGGTTTACAATAAGGTTGAGTTGAAAAAATATGTTTGGCTTGCACACGTTTTGTTTTGTCTATGCCAGTTCGAAATGCCGAGTCAGGGCTATGTTGAAAGTAGAATGATTTGACAGGTGCGTTTTCGTGCAAGCTTTTTGCATTAATTTTTTGAGGTTTACATTTTTATGAATAGTATTTGTTTCCCCCTCCTATTCACTATTAGCCTAAGAGGCTATTCCAGCTACGCGTAGATGAGTAGGGTGACGTCACGGGCTCAACATGAGAGAATTACTAACACTGACCCTAGCAAGAGCAGTGCTTCGCAGAACCTACCACTGGAACGGAATTGCGATCCGGCGAGAGATTTAGTGGGTAAATCGTAAAAGTAGGAGTTCTTGCATCATATACTTGGTAAAGTCTTTACCTTGATACGTTTCGAAGGAAAACTGTCGTATTTAGTATAACGCTAAGTTAAAGTCCGCATTAGAAGCCAAGCTAAACTAAGCATTAGAATTTCGTCCTCACGCCTTGGGGTAAGCGATTATAGTGCACCAGTGGTATCGCTCGGGCGGCCTGGTAGGTGCGCCGTACCGCGGAGACCGGCGTCGTTGGTCGTCGACTATCGCCTCGACGACCCGTCGGCCGAGCGTCCTCGGGGTGGCGCCGCGAGTCTGGTTGTAGTGTTGATCGCGGGAGCCCCCTACTCTGACCGGGTTCTCACCCCGGACGTCGGGTGTAAGAGTGCAGGGGAGTCGTTTAGTGCGGTAGGGCCTTAAAACTCTTTGGGCCCGCGGTCTGCTTCCAACATCTGCAGATAGTCAAGTACCACATAGCTCGTATGAAGTTTGGCCCTGGCCCGAAAAAAAGGGCGATTATAGTGCAATTCCCTACGCTCATACTCAGATTGAATGATGAGCTACCGTAAGATACAACTTCGTTCATATTGGGATAGCGTTAATGAAGCTCTCAAAGTAGAACGATTGTTCGTACCGCTGATTGGGTTTCTTTTCACCACCGTTAAAATACGATAGCCAAGCATCATTTAGTTCTCTTCTATTTGAAACTAGTTCGAAAAATAGAATGTAACGTGGTCGGTACGCGGCTCAAGATTACGTGTTTGTTTTCGATTTTTAAATGCATTGCTCTGCTCTCACTGTGTAATATACGAGTAAAAACAAATGGCACTGTACGGTAAACACGTTCGCACGTAATATATTAGGGTTGTCGCGCTGAGTTTTTTTTTATCAGCATAAGCGGAGAGATTGATTCACGATCCATCTCGTGTTGATTGACCATCGCATAATTCAGACGAAACATCCTAAACGTGAATTTTTTTTATTGCTTTATAGGTGGATGAGCTCACGGCTCACTTGATGTTAAGTGGTTACCGGAGCCCATGGACATCTACAACGTAAATACCGCCACCCACTGAGATAAGATAATAGGGATGACGTGTCATTTATCTATTTCCAAAAGCTAAGTTATCTTTTGGCGTTTGAGGATCATGATAAAGACTCGTATCCATTTGTTTTCTACAGAAAATCTGAAAGGTGATGTCCGTGCGTGGTTCTCATATGAGGGGTCGTTGTGTTTTTCAGAATGTCTGATTTTCGTGTACGTACGTAAGAGAAATCTGTTCGAAAGTGATAATCGCTGGTCGGTCTGTAAATAATGAAATTACGTCATTATTTTTATATTCGCTCGGGCAATGATTGTGGTGAACGCGTCTACAACTAAACATTATCAATAATACGTACAAAGTTTAGGTACTATTCGTCATGTAAGTTCTTATAAATCGAAGTTTTGTCATTTGAGGTAAATAAGCATTATCAATAATACGTACAAAGTTCAGGTATTATTTGTCATATCAGTTCTTATAAATCGAAGGTGTCATTTGAGGTAGTAGAGGGCGTTTTATGTCATCATCATTATCGTCATCATTCAAAACAATTGAGATTTCGACCAAATGTCGCAAGGTTGGATCTTTACGTTCAGATGTTTCTGAAGCTGAAAAGCGCGTCTGTCTATCTAATGCAATAAAAATAATTGAGTCTATTTTGCGTGTTCTTCTCAGGACGGTACCTGATTTCGGGACCGTTGCTAGAGAATTAAATTTAATATTCTCAACTTGACATGTTTGCTATGTTGAAATTCCAGTTTCGATAATATCATTTACATATTCTAATATTTATATATCGGAAAACGAAAAGAAAGCTCATCCGATGGATCATCGCAAAAGTGCTTTTTTGTCCGTCTGCATATGTTAGACGCATATGTCATGATGCATATGTCATTTTTGTCAATATGCATTGTCGGACGTGCAACTGCTATTTCGAGTGTATCGGTTGCGTCAAGGGCTCAAGTGTGTCAGTGGGCCGGGACGTCTCCGCGACAATTTCAGCTCGTTACACAGTTCCGCGGCTCATATTGCCCTAATTTCGTTTCTTACGTCACGCCTTGCCGACGCACGCCGGTGCGTTCTCATTGATTCTTCTGTCATAATGATGTTTATATACCTGAAGCAAAAACGTTGTACCCCTTTTTATAAAAAAACTGCGCGAATGGAGGAGTATGAAATTTCCCACACTTATAGAAAAGACTAGCTGACCCGGCAGACTTCATAGTGCCTCAATCGATAAATAAAAGACCTAAACTTTTGTACAAAATAAGCTTAAAACAAACAAAAGTAATCCGTCCGACGGGGGACACATCAAAGGAAAAACAAAATTGTTATTTTTATTTAATTCCGAGCATTTTTATATTTATCCACCTTTTAAACTTTCTCTGGACTTCCACAAATAATTCAAGACCAAAATTAGCCAAATCGGTCCAGTCATTCTCGAGTTTTAGCGTGACTAACGAACAGCAATTCATTTTTATATATATAGATAAAGAAAGAGTGCAGAATGCTAATAATTTTTTTTAATTATGTATTAATAATACATTAAATCAATAAAAAAAAACATAACATACACTACCATGTATTTGACGCACACACATATATTTACTTTGCGTTTTTGTCAAATTTTTTATATTGTTTAAAGTCTGTAGTCAAATTGAGAATAGGTTAATCTTTAATGTTATTTGTCTGTAGTGTAGTCTTGGTGAAATCTGTGATTATAGAAGTATAATAGTCTTTGACAATAGAATTATAATAGTGTACAAACTTATAATTTCAATAAATTATAGTCGAATTTCGATTACCTTGAGACCAGTAGTATTTATTATTACTTAATTGTTCTTCTTAGTCGCTTGCACTCTTGGCGGAGTGGTCGTGGTCATTAGATCGGGTGGTGGTGCGTTTAATAGGACGTCGTCATTCCTCGCGTATCGCCTTTCTTATGCACCTATTGATGAGCCGGTTAGAGCTGCCTTAATTTCCTCGGTCATTCTACATACATACACATAAAATAATAAATACACGGATTGATTGAAAATTACATTTAAATCAAGGTTGCTCGATTATGCCCACGGGCCACAACCCGGCCCGCGGACGACCTTTGAATGGCCCACGCAAGCAAATTGACCATTGAAAAAAATCCCACATAAACAATACCAGAAATCATATTAATGGAATAAATTACGTTAATCTGATTTCTTTATCCGGTATAAGATGTTTAATGTTTTGTTATAGAATTAAACAATTACGTATGAAAATAATTGTTTTTCTTGTGGGACAAGTTTTATTTAAAGTAACTCCAATAGAAATCGACATCGGCTCTCCGAATGTACAGGTATGAAGGGAAGATTTAAAAAAATAATACCTAAATGATATGTACAAAGTCGTGCTGAATCCACTCATTAGTTTTCTTCCCGCAAACCACTAGTAAAGAAAAATGGGAAAATCCAACACTAAATATACACAATAC